AAATATTTCAAAATCAAGCATCTTGGTGAAATACAACACTATTTAGGTATGGATGTAAGAAAAAAAAATGATGATTTCTATGAAGTGAGTCAAATGGAGAAAATTAAAATTGTTAAAAAAGTATAACATGACTGAAGCCCATTCAGTGGAAACTCCTATGACTACTGGTTTTCTGAGAGAGCCTGATGGTAAAAGTTTTGAAAATGTTAATGTGTATCCAGGAATCTTTTTGTAGAAAAACAGCTGCCGGAGCTCATTAGCATAACTCATTAGCATATGCCACACCCCCTGACATCACCGGAAGTGTGTCATAAGGCCACACCCACCACTCAGTTAGTCTTAGTCTTAAAGGTTAGTCTTAAAGGTGCTATTTGTTAGTCTTAAAGGTGCTATTTGAACTCTTGGTTTCTTGTCCTTGGCCCTTTTGGACTGTTGGTTATGGTCCAGCTCCCCCCTCTATATTTGCTAAAGGATATGGCAATCTGATCACCCCCCCTTTTGCCTTTTTACCAGCTACAGGACAAGCAAACAGGGCAACCTTTCCTTGGCAGGAAGCGAGAGATGGGTGGGAAACAACTGCACTTGCTAAACATTATCCTGCCCTGCAAGCCAGATAAGGAAGAAGAAACAAGCAACAGCGTATATAGCACCTAGCCGCAAGAGGGAACGCAGCCCAGTCGCCAGCATGAAACAAGAGCCGGGCAATCACACACACACACACGGAGACCTCCGGTCACGGTGAGCAGAACTCGCATTTTAAAAGAGGTTGCCGCTTCCCGCCAGATTTCGGCAAGGCGCCCACAGAAGGGTGTGGAATCGGGAAAGGGGGAGGGAAGAGACTCCCACTCACTGAAGCTGAAGCACGCGAGCTGCAGTTTTTAAAATATATATTTTTTAAAAAAATATACAGAAGTATAAGGAAGAGAGAATCAGTGGAAATAGACCCCCCCATTCTTACAGAAACAAAAGTGCTTAGTGTCATATTAGCTTTTCAGTTCCAGATGGAGATTCCCAGAACTGAAACAAGAACCAGCCTGCCCAACAGACACCCTCCCCAACAGTAAAATAACAACAACAGGGATGTACTAAAAGGAATGACAGGATTGGCCACTGGAAACAATGGGAGAGATTTGAAGGCCCATTGGAAATAATGGGAACCCGGAATGTCAATTGACTTGCATGGGTTCCATTGAAATATATTATAGCACAAGAAGAGTTGCAAAGAAAATGTGGAACGGATTTTCCATTAAGAGCTCTGGAATGACAGCCCCTGGGTATAGAAGAAGCATTTTGGGACTGGATTGACAGGCCCCAGAGTGGAATGATAGCCCCTGGGAACAGAATCTGTGTGCTGGGACTGGACCTGTCAGGCGAGTCCCAGCACACAGATTCTGCTCCCAGGGGCTGTCATTCCAGTGCCAGAACATATCTCCTACACCCAGGGGCTATTGTTCCACTCTGGGAGCTGTCATTCCAGAAACCTTAACAGAAAATCCATTCTGCATTTTCTTTGCAACTCTTCTTTTGCTGTAATATATTCCAAAGGAGCCCAAGCTCCCTACCTTCCAAGCCCAAATAACTATAGCAATTTCCACAAGAACAACAAGCAACACTCCCTCTAAGCTGTGGAGTCTTGAGAGCAAAAATCCTACTTTGTGAGCTCCTGGCATTAAAGTTGTGAGCAGGCGATTTTGCTGCTGCATCAGTTAGTTTGCTCTGGAGCCATCCTTCCTAAGCTGGAGGCTAAAAAACTGTGACCTGGCTCACACTAACTCAGCTTAGTGGGAACACTCGCAACGACCCTCTCCAATAAGGCAGGGTCACCACAGCCCCCCCCCCACACAGGGAGTGGGGCTCACTGGCACTGGGTTTTGATGGATAGGGAAGGCGTTACAGGAAGACGGGTTTCAATGCAATCCTAAAATCCCCTGATTCGGATCGCCTGGCATGAGCCTGCTTAGCTTGGCCTCGATTTCCTCCCCCCCAACTCCGCCGCCCCATTTTCCGAGCCAGCTGAACAGTGGGGGACACTCCAGGAGCGCAAGCCCCGTGCTGCTTCTGAGCAGCCCCATTGAATTACACAGGCATAGCTGGCGGCAGCCTGGCTGAAGTCCTCGGACCGGGGCCGGACCCGGGTGCCGCTGTTGCTGCTCAGGGAAGGGACGGGAAGGAAGCTTTTTTCCCATGTGTCTGCAGCGCAGAAAGGGTTAGGCTGAGAAAGCTGCTTTGCTAGACAGGCCGAGCGGGGAGGGGGCAGAAAAGAGGGACGGGGTGGGTCCTCTGCATTGTGAAGGAGGAGGGGAAGGGGCTTCAGATATGCAACCGCACGAAAAGCCTTAAGGCCAGATCTTGGAAAGGTTTACTCACAAGTAGGTCATGGGGGTGGGGGGAGAGGGAGCGCGTCAGGGAGGGGGCCCATAAAAACCGCTAGGGGGCCAGGCACTTGCTAAACATTATCCTGCCCTGCAAGCCAGATAAGGAAGAAGAAACAAGCAACAGCGTATATAGCACCTAGCCGCAAGAGGGAACGCAGCCCAGTCGCCAGCATGAAACAAGAGCCGGGCAATGACACACACACACACACACACACCAACATACAGGGGATCTCTCCAAGAAGCCTGTTGTTTGCTTTCAGTTCTATTGAACGCTTTCTGTTTACGGGGGGAGACCTCCGGTCACGGCGAGCAGAGCTTTCATCCTTGAATACTCGCGCCCATCCACCCCCGTTCCCACGTGCTTCAAAACTGCAAAAGGCGCTCTTGCAGCCGCCCCCCCCCTTCGCTCTGCGGGCAGCCCTTTAAACTGCAAGTCTGATTCCGGCAGTGGGGCCAGAACACCAGAAGCCCTCCCACTGCCCCCCCAAGCACCAAGAATACAGAGCATGGCTTGCCCCACACTGAGAGTTCCTTGTGGATAAGGGGAAAGTCTCGGATGGGGCCTGGGGGGGAAATTGTTCCTGGCAGAGGGGGAGGAGGGAGCCCTCTCAGCGAGGGGAGCCCCGCGATCTCGGCGGGACGGTGCCTTTGGGGAGCTTGGCGGGAGCGGCCGGCGCACACGCCCACTCTCTGGCGGCGCCCGGCTCCCGGCCGGGCACGCCGCTTCCCTCCCTGCCTTTGTGGAGGGAGGAGGAAGAAACGCTGTGGCGCTGCCAGGGAGGGAAGAGAGGAGAAGGGGGGCGCCCCTCTGCCCTGCCTACCGGGGCCCGGCAGACGGGACGTCGAGGAAGGAGGGCACCCCGAAAAGGGCCTGCTCTGGCCGCGGCGGCATCGCCCCCCGCCAGCTAGCCAGTTGGCTGGCCAGGGAAAGCAAGGCCGGGAGAAACTCTCTGGTGGCCCGCCAGCCACGCAGACAGGGGGATTTCTCCTGGTGGAGCGCGCCTTCGCGCTCCGCCGGAAAGGTTGGGGATGGGCCCTCGAGGCCTAGCGAGGCTGCTGGAGCAGCCTGGCTAGCTCGAGACCGGGGGGGAGATTTCTCCCGTGGAGCGCGGCTTTGCGCTCCGCCGGAAAGGTTGGGGACGGGCCCTCGAGGACTAGCCAGGCTGCTGGAGCAGCCTGGCTAGCCCAAGACCGGGGGAGTGGGGGGAGGGAGAGAGATTTCTCCTGCGGAGCGCGTGTTCGCGCTCCGCCGGGAAAATTGGGGATGGCCCCTCGAGGCCTAGCCAGGCTGCTCCAGCAGCCTCGCTAGCCCGAGACCTGCGGGGGGGGGGAGATTTCTCCTGGCACGGGAAGGTTGGGGATGGAAGGTTGGGGATGAATGGGCCTTTGCTAGCCCGAGACAAAGTAAGGGGGAGGAAGCTGACTTACCTTCCTGCTGTTCTCCAGGTCTGAAACAGAATGAGGCTTGGATCAAGAGCGGTCTGAAAAAGGGGGCGGGGCTTCACCACGTGACTGCCCCCCCGGGTCTCTTCCGGAGCGCCGTACCGGAGCGCTCCCCCTCCATGAGACCTCTGTGTGTATCAGTCATTCTTTATTGTACCTAGCAATCTGGTCTCGTCCTGATATTTTCTATGCAGTCCATGTGCTAACTCAAAGAAATGCATGTCCATATGTAAGAGACTGGAATGCAGCAAAAAGAGTACTAAGGTACCTAAAAGGTACTGTTGAGAGCAAATTAGTATTGCAAGCAGATATGTCTCAACAAGTAATTGCCTTCAGTGACGCTAACTGGGGTGATAGAGTGGGAAATCCACTACAGGGTACGTTGTGTATGTTTATGGGTCACTTATGTGGAAGTCAGCAAAACAACATTTTGTTTCTACAAGTACATGTGAGGCAGAGTTTGCAGCCTTGAATGAAACTTTTGTACAACTGGAATGGCTTAAACAACTGCTAATAGATTTGGATATGCCTTGTGTTATGCCCATGAATGTAATGTGTGCTAACACTGCAGCACAACAATTGGCTGACTCACAGGGAATTAATGCAAGGAGTAGACATATCAATGTACGGTACCAAAATGTGAGAGAAACAGTACAAAGAAAATTTGTTACTCTCCAGCATTGCTCTTCTGAGGAGAACGTGGCTGATGTGTTCACAAAGAGTCTGGATGTAAATAGATTCCTGAAACTAAGAAAGAGTTTGTACCTGTTCACAAATTCTGAATCTTAGGGGGAGTGTTGAATGTCATAAGTATTCAGCAAGTGTGATCATGCCAATCTAAGTGACAAATGTCTGACAGACCAGGGAACCAGAGCAAACCGGTTTTGGCTGGAGTAGAGCTGAGCTGTATCACAATGACTCAGCAGTGAGCTGATTGGCTGGTCTATGTATATAGGTGTGTATAGTCTGTACACTGTTCCTTCTTCTTAAGTATGATTGTATGGCGGAGCACTTTGTCGGAGAGAGCTGTATATATGGAAATAAATCACTGTATATAGTTAACCACAAGAACTGTGTCAGTGTGGTTTACTGCAGTGGAAGCAGGGTGCAATTTGGATCTTTGGTGGAAGGCTGATTCAGTGACGCAGGCTGCGCACTACGTGACATTCAGAAGATACTCACCTCGACAGGACACAGAAACCTCCGACCATTGTGAAGTTCCAAGGCATTCAGTAACTGGTGGCGTTGGAGAAGTTGGTTCATAACCTGAGATGCAAGTGTAAGTCAACCTGGTCCCTACAGGATAGCTTTGCTTTGAGCCTTGCCTTATCTCAGCATTGCGGAAGGCTTTTGGAGGGCCACAGTCACCTGGAAATAAAGATACAGATGAAGATTTGATTATGCTGAGAGAAGGAAGGTTGATTGCAGTGCTGAACTCTAAAGAATTCATAAAGCCTCATCAGAGAAACTTGGACTGAGAGCTTCACAAGAATGTTTGTGGAGACTTTTGGAGTTAATCTGCTGAATGCAACTGGATCAAGACTGACTGCACTAAGACTTGTTCTCTTTGACATCTATCAATGATACAGGTTTTCTAAGAAATTTCCCAGAAAAACAGTTTGTCCTAAACAGAGCATAACCTGATCTACTGTGTGAGTTTTGACTTACATTTAGGGCTCTTTTTGTAGCAGGTACTCATTTGCATACTAGGTGACACACCCCTAATGTAGCCAATCCTCCAAGAGCTTACAGTAGCTCCTGTAAGAAGAGCTCTGTAAGCTCTTGGAGGATTGGCTACATTAGGGATGTGTGGCCTAATATGCAAAGGAGTTCCTGCTACAAAAAGAGCCTGACGTGCTACCACTGAAGAAGCCCTCTCTAGTGACCCAAGAAGCTTGCCTGGAAGAAGCTTGCCTGTAAGAAGAGCTCTGCAAGCTCTTTGAGGATTGGCTACATTAGGGGGGTGTCACCTAATATGCAAAGGAGTTCCTGCTACAAAAAGAGCCCTCTGAATTGGTATTAGCCTTGGTAAAAAAGAAGAGGTCATCCAA